GTTAAATGACCCAGTGCAGACGAATTATTGTACGCCCACATTCGGTTCGCCTTCGGCGAGTAAATTAATGCACTCGACTATACATTGAGTGCATCGAGTTGCCGTCGTGGAGCAGTCGGCCGCGCTGCCGTAACGGATCGTCTCGATCGTTTTGTAAAGCCCGTCGTTATCGCTCGGCGAACCCAACTCGGGGCGCAACCTGACGACGGAAATAAATCTCGAGAGACGCGCTTAAGGAGCGATCGGCTTTCTCGTCCATAAACATTAGATAGCGGAAGTACAGGGAGGGAATCAAGGACCGACGGTGGAGGAGATAAAGAGGATTGTGCGAAGGGATGTAAAGGAGAGTGAACGGGCGCGCGCAATACCGACGAAGGATGAAATTCCGGCGATCTTATCGCGTTTAACCTTTTTTGCATCCTTTGGAGAAAATCGGAAGACGATCGGAAGTGAAGTAGTAGTGGAATCGAGAGGTCGTTCGATGCTATCTTGCAAAGTCGTGGAAATCCGTTTTAATCCGCGAACCGTTGGTTGCGGGCCGACTCGGCGCAAAGTTGACTCGTTCGAAATGACGTACAAGGACGCGAGCACGAATTTGCCTCGCGGCTAATGAATCGTGGAAAAAATATTTTATCCGTGAGCGACCTCATTTCTACTTCCTCCTCCCTGTCTCGCAATAATCGGAAGCTCATTGAAAACCGTGAGCGAGCAATAATGGATTTGCATAATGCAAAATGCAAAATGTTTTAGGATGCGTATTGTTAGTAGCATTGCTTATGATATATTAGAATATGTATCAATGTGCTTATAATATGCTTATTACTTTTCTTTGATAATAAATATTTGTTTATTTCGAGTAATTATCTTGCAAAAAGAAAGATATGTCACAAAACTCCAATTTTTCGACAAATTTGAAAAGCATGAATTAATTAGTAAATGAATGAATACTTTCATGTTTGATCACGGCAATTCAACTTAATTACTCACATGCGCTTTATTAATCTCCACCAGATGAGAAAATCGAATTATGATAGATATACAACGGTTTATTAATTGCTTGTATTTATAAGTGGACGGTACTTTTTAGAATTTTAATTTAAAGTTTAATTATTGAGAAATGTTGAATCTCGAATATTAAAAAGCAAGAGTATTGCAATTTGATTTTTTCAGAATTTTTCTTTTACAAAAAAATGGATTCAACGAAAAAACCGAAAGACTTTCCTGACATGTTGTTCTACGTGTAGCTATAAATATTGCAGTTTGCAATTTCTAATTTATTTGCATATATTAATGGAAATGTCGTATATTGTCACGTAGCGCGAGCACTACAGCCAATTTAGAATGGCTCTGCCTTTACGGTAGATATAAGTGACCTTTTTAACTGCGGTCCGTTACGCATAATTTACGTTCATTATCTTTAATGGGCGAGCTATTAGAAGGGGCGCGAGTAATAGTATGGCAATACCACTAATGCTTCCGCCCTCTCTTGCCCTATCCCTTTTCCTCCTTCTTCCACCATTTTTCTACCGGCACGTTTAAACGTCTACTCAATGCAAATAATGGCCGGTAGCGGAAGAATATTGTTTCTTGTGCGGAAGAAAGTAATGAGACGATGGGGAGCGCGGTGGTACGAAAGCCGGATGTATCCGGAATTATATCGGGAATTGCACGTCAAGCGGTTTCCAAGCAGATTTATTGCTTCATCTATAGTTCTTCTCATAAGGACAGTGAGATTGTACAGAATATGTCAAAGTTCTTTAGGGAATTTTCAGAGCAAATTTGCTATTTCTCATATTATCTTTTATTATTATTTTTCATTTTATCTTAATATTCTATGAAAATTAGATATATTTTTTAACAGAATATTGATATTCTAGTTATCAATTCAGTTGTAAATTAAGAAGCGATAATTAATAATTTTTGTTGACTTTTTTAATCCAATTATTCATCTAAGATTAGCATATATATTTTTTAAGTGATAATGTTATATGTTGAGCTTATCACATTTCAAATATAATTATAAAAAAAAATTAAATAGCTTGACAATATAAGAATAATTCGCGGTGCATTTTTGAAAATCTGTATATCACGGAACTGTGTCATGTGATGAGCGTGACGTCATGAGATCTACTCCGCGACTAAGATCAGTTCACAAAACGACGGCGAAGCGATTAGATATACGCGAGAGTTGTTCCGCGTTTCGTGTGCTTTTTTTCCCGTTTGAAATTCTTGAACTTCGTACGTAAACATTAGTATCTAGTGGACAGTCGTCGTGGAATGTTAAAACGCGTTCGGTTGTGCAATTGCTACTTCTTCGATACTTGTAAATAGATTACTATCGCGTTCCGCTATATCTCGCCGTTTCTCGAGCGTCTGTAGCTTCGTTTTTCATACTTCTAAAACATATCTCAGAAGCGTCGGTAGCATTGAATTTAGCGACGGGCAATCATTGTAGAGTATTAAATATCGCGTACGATCGCAATTGACCAGCTTTTCGGTATTCGAAAGCCAGTCGCATTCATCGCGTCGTGTCGAAAATTGTTAGTCGAATATGCAAGATAGCGTCGGTATGAAATTGCCTCGTTAGAATTCTTTCAATCTCGGCACTGTTGGCACTACCGGCAGTGTTGGCACTGCCGACGCTGTTGGAACAAGGTTGGGAATGTTGGTAGTATCGATAATTTAGTAGTGTCAGCAGTGTCAAATCTCGAGAAATAGTCTTATGCAGTGAATCAGTGCGCGTACGACTTGACCTAACCTAACTCTTTCGGTATACATATAGCGAATCGGATGTAATTCGCTGAATCTTCGTCGAGCATTGATACATAATTGTCGTCTTTCCAATTCTTTAACGGGCAATAGTCATATTTCGCGTTATTTATTTGAGAATGTAGCGTGTGGTTATGAAATCGTGTATCAAGTGTAAAATGCCTTATCGGAGAATGTGATGATAAAGACAAGTGATGACAGTTAGTTCTTCCGATGATATTCGCGTTTGTCATTTTACGGCTAGTAATGCTGCTTCATTAAATATTGTCGCGGTGTCAAATTGTTTAATAGGCAAAATAACTTCGCGCTTATTATGATTAGAGTGTTTCGGTTGTAACTCGCGTTAATAAAATTCGGGAGTGTCATATGAAATGATCGGTCGTATCGTAATGATTAGTGCCAGTGTGTGTTTGAAGCGACGACAGGATAAACAACGGCGACAGAACATCAACTAGAGATTTAACATCGACTAAGTGAGTAAATCACTTTAGTTTTTAAAATCCGATAAATCGACTAATTAAAAATTTGTTACGGTTGTTTGTTTATCTTCAAATTGATCGTCGCTCAATATAACTTGTACGCGAAAATTATTCTTCGCATATTCTTGTAAAGACGCATCGCGACGCACGTGGTGGACACCCCGACGTCAACGACGACGGAGTGTTCGGGGCGCAAATACCTCCGAACGTCCCTCGGGCTGTCACTTAGTGTCCTAAAGAAATAACATTTCCTTCCCGCGCACCAAGGGCGCGCGCGCTTGTACCACACTATTGTCGTCGTTCTCGTCGCCGTCGACGACGTCTTTCCCGGAGACGATGGCGGGGTAACACCGCGGATTCCCGTCCCGTCGCATTTTTATTTCGCCACGAGGCCAGCCCCGAGTCCGACAGGGGGAAACGGGAGCACGTTGAAGGGCAGGGGGAGGACGAACAGGGAAGGGGGCGGAATCCTACCCTCGCCAGGCATTGCACAAGTGTCAGCCTGAATAATACATGTCCGTTGCAGTGAGTATACGGCCTGACACGGGCTGTTCCCCGTTCCGTACGTATATGTATATGTATACAGCGTGGCGCTCTGTACATACACGCTCATATACGCGCGCGTATACATATGTAACGATCTATACGGACGTATTTCTTTCTCCTCGCCCTCCCTTTTCTCCCGTCCTCACTACTGCCACTCTCCTCCCTCCCCCTTCTCTTCCTCATTCTCACCTTCCATCTCTCTTCCGTGCAGTCACACTTCGCGGGTCCTTTGACAAGCGGGTTTACGTTATCGCGCAAATCGCAGCGCGTCTGCATCGCATGTAGACGCGCGTGTAGACGGCAGGACGTGTCACGTCGTTCTCGCGACGACGACGACGACGACGACGACGACGAGATCTCACATCTTGCCGCGAGTTGACACACCTAGCGTATGCAGGCTTACGGAATGCAGCGTCTTCAACCGGGATAATCGATGCAATGAGAGAGAGAACTCAGCTGACCTTGTCGAAAGCTACAGCCGCGAATTCATCTGTTTTGTAAACCTGAAATTTTCGATCTTGCGTAATCGCTCGTTAATCCAGTTTGTCAGATATTATGGACACTAATATGATCGTTGATTCAGTTTGCCAGGTATTACGGACGTCAATGGTCATCGATAGTCGAGTTTGCCAAGTATTATGGACACCTATGATCATTGTGAAATGTTTATTGTGATAGTAATGTAAATGCTTGTTGAATCGTAAGCGTATCAAGAATGCAGCGTATAAGCGTTATTATACCGATATATAACTCTCTTTCGCTTGTCTGTTTACGCATCAAAAGTTTTTTTTACGAATGCATGAATAATTTCTCAAATCAGTAAACGTTGTTATGCGATTTTAGCAAACACCATGATTGTTACGAGAACGTGACAGAAATATGGAAGAGAATAGGGCGCGAGAAATAATTTAGACCGCGCGGATAATATTCGCTGTTATGAATTTGAAGAGTTGCTCGAATGAGAATGCGAATGGAATTCTTGCTTCGGTTTCCCTTTCTCGAGAACGGCGCGCGGAACACGTCGCGCGAGCCGTTCTTTTTCTCGTCGAATCTCTCGGCCTCGTTTCACCACGTGCGGGCATCGCGCAGTCTAGGAGAGTGGACTGTAGTATACATATAGAGTCTACTCTCGACTCCCGTCGTCGTCGTCGTCGTTTCTATTTCCGACGATCCGACTAACGGTCGTTTTCCTTGTGTGTGTTGCAGGGATTACGTTCGACGCGAATTGGATGCAGTGACGTCATCGGGAGTTAGCACCACGGTGAGTAAAGTTATGCATTCTGGGTTCAATTGGTATTTGGACTGGCCGTAGATCTACACGAATTGGATTGATTTGAACTTATGTAACTAGGAAGAAAAACGAACTTGCATGAATCTTGAATGCATATTCCGGCTGTATTAAGCACATGATATAAGAATAGAATAAAAGTTTTTAATATAATAATGTGAGAGAATTTTCAAAGCGGTCAGTGGTCTAACCGTGTTTCATAACTCGATAAAATTATTTTAGCTATTATATTTTCTTGATCATAAAATGTTGCACAAAAACTTTTGGAATTTTGACTCTGCCTAAAATTGGTTTTTTAAAGAGATACTTGAGCGACAATTTAGTATTTTTTTGAGTGCCGTCTATATATCATGTGTTTAGGAAAGTGTCGGGGGCATAAGACCCTGTTTGCTCGGCTGCCGCCCTCGCGGTAAGTAAAATACGCCGTAACAGGGTTAGCCGGGCTATGAATAAATTTAGCACGGCGACCGAGATTATAGGGTGGAGAATGAGAAAGAGAGAAAGAGAAAGAAAGAGGAGGAAAAGGTGAGTAATAATATGTGAGAAAGGAGACGTTTTCAACCTGCGAACTTAGTCTCCCTTTCTCCGCTCGCGATGACGTTATCGTGCAACCCTCTGCTACGTGGAGCTTCAAACCGCGCGCATACACGTCCGTAAATGTAAGCTCTGTGTGCGAGGCGTCTGCAAGCTCACGACGAGAAAGCTCTCTCCCGACAAAAAAGTCCGATGAGAGAGAAAGATGGGGGACGGACGGGAAAAAGCGGGAGAAAGAAGAGCAGAGGGGAGACGGAGATGGTCGTGCTCGAAAACATTTACAGCGAATCGGATTAACGCGGGTATTTAATCCCGCTCGCGGCTTTCTCGTCGGCGAAATAAAAAGGGGACAGGTAAAAAGGGACGCGAAAAAAGATTGCGCGCGCGACGCACACAGGACGGAATTGCGGGTATAAAGGGTTTGCTTGGTATACAGTAGAGAAAGAGAGGGATAGAGCGAGAGAGAGAGAGAGAGGAGAGGGGGGGAGGGAAGGAGGGAGAGGGAGATAGAGAGAAAGATAGAGAAAAAGAGGGAATGCAGTCTTCGGTGAAATCTCATCTTTTTAATGGGAGCAGCTTCCACGACGATGGAATTACCTCCTGCGAGTTTTCGTCAAATATCGGAATTTCTGACTGATAGCACAGGCATCGAATAGGGAATCGCGGGAAACGCGGCCTATGATTTGATTTGCGCGTCGAAGGGGTTCCAAGAGCGAGTGTTAATCATGTTAAAGAGATACGAGATGAACGAGCGTCTTACATCTGGATATTTATCGCGCGCGACTGTTAAAAGCATAGATAAACCCTCGAAAGTGCACACCTCACCACTTCTATTCCTGGAATTTCGATAAGTTATATATATATATATAGAGGCGCGTTGTTATATTTAATCGTGATAAAATTATTAATATATAATTGTATAACACAATTTTATAAAATTCTTTGCGACACATACATAGATAGATAATTAAATTTTATTTTGCTTATTATTTTAACAGATTTTACTTTCGCAAAATGTCAATTGTTTTAATTAAATTTGCCTTAAATTAAACTTTAGGAGACATTGTATTTAGCCACTGTGTATTATAACAGGAATAAAAATACGGGAATTAAAATAACTTATTCAAATACACAGACGCAACGCTCGAACACGACTTAAACGTGAACGTTAATGCAACAAGCATGAGACATGCCTCAATATGCGAACTTGAATTTGCTATCTAATCATTTGTAGCACTTGTGGAAACAGAAAATGCGTGTCATTGCAGTCGATCCGGTACACAGTAATTTGCAATTAGCGAGTATGACAATACACTTTCCCGTCGCTCGCGGTGCGCTTCTCGCTTCCTTTATATAAAGGCGATATATGGTTCGTTGACGCATTGCATAAATTAATATATCGGGAAAATGTAATTAGTTTCATTAATTCAATGTTATTTTCTCTGATTTCCTTGGTATTAGTCAATCGGTTTTCAAGTAGCCAGACTTGTTATTACAAATCTTTTCGTTTGATAGCGAATGTTTTCAACAGTATTATTTTAGAGATACACTATCATTGCTTTTTATCTCTTAGTCCATTTTTAATTTATTTTTTTAATTCTTACGTTTGAATTAGCATGAATCATAAATAATGAATGAATAGGAAATATATATCTAATATAAATCAATAAATTGATATTTATTATAAATTATATAACTTAAAAAGATTATTTTACTAGATAATTTTTCTTTTATAAAAAATATAAATATTGTAACAAAAGCATGTACCTAAAAATCACCTTATTATATAGATAATGCATGAAAATTGCTTTTTCAATATTTTTAAATTTGTTTTGTTAAAAATCATGGCTTCATATATCAACATAGTTCATCTTGAGCACTTTTCGTATAATGTTCGTTATTTGTCCCTTACGAATAATGCGTTGTAAGTCTCGATGAACGTTTCAGGCGAGTCGGTACTTCATTTAAGAAATCGCAATTTTCTTTACGTCGTCCGCACATGATTTCGCCGTCGTTCACGCGCGTGGCGTAGCGCCTGTCGATATATTCCGCGTACGTTGTAACGACGTGCGCCGCTTTTGCTCGCCTTCGCGCCTTCATTTTACAGCCATACGGGACGGGCAGCAGCAATAGCAAGCGTGAGTGCAACGTTTCCTTCAGTTTCCATCAAATCGTATATAGCGAAGTCGAAACATCGGCGAATGGCGGAGAGCGCGCGGGGAAACACGTATCGCTCAGACATTCGTCCGCACTCGGCTAGCTGCTTCACGGCAGGCATTCGCAATTTTGCTTTTCTCTCACTTTCCACTTCGCGTATTCCGTCTCCCCTGTCTCTCCCGCCTGCATTGCCCCTTCTTCGGCCTTGCGCTCATATTTTGCGCGCGCACGGTACCGATGGAAAACGTAGCCTTCACGTCTTATCGAGAGCCAGCCGGCAGCGGTAATCGTGACGGCCCGATTTCGTACCGCGGACGATCTACCGCCCCGATCGTGAAAAAAACTCGGTGAAAAATGAACCGGGTCAGATCATATACGGGGTCGGCTCCGGCTCGCGAGCCCGTTCGCGTGAAAGGACGCGGAGCGATACGTGACCCTAGGCGAGTCTTCATAAATCCGACGTCAATATCAGTGGAAACGTGCACGATTCGCCATCTCTCGCCGTTCTTCTCTCCGTTTCGTCACCGGTTTGTTTACGCGCTTTCGTATTCCTGATTTTTTCATTTTCAAAGTAGATAGTTAAACGCACGTTCAAGGCGTTAAAAATAGAAGCCGATAAAATTTTTGCCGATAACGTTCACGCTCTTCTAGAAACACTGTGGTGACTACAGAGATTTAGAATTAAATCAGTAGCTTGGAAATGTAACCCAGATTTCGTAATTTATATTTAACGTTAGCGATTCTGCCAAATGTTCTTTACATTACAGTGTTTCAGTCTATTAACTCAGTGGTCGACCTTGATCAACGTAACTCTTTTTACAATAGTTTGCCTCCATCAATGGAAGGATTTTCCGGGAAACGAAAGTAAAATTTCTCTTTTTTCTCCCTCAACGGAAATGTCCAAACGTGATACCTACTTAATTATCGGAGCTTTTGTAAGCGAAACGAGGCGAGGTTCTCAAAAAGGATACGGCGAATCGGCGTGAAGAGGCGGAAAAGGGAAGCAGACCGATACCGATGTTGAGAGAGAGGTTCGCGGGAATGTCCATTGCTAACGGGCATTTGTATGTAAATGGCCTCATAGTTGCGAAAGTAGTCTCGTCGAGAGCAGCAGAGCCGGCAGAGTGAAGCTAACGAGACCGATCGTCTCGGCAGGGAAAAGAAGAGACATCGGTCGGGCAAAAAGAGAACGCCGAGGAAATAAAACGATCGCGTTTGAGTTTGGACTTGCGTCTGCCGTTAATGTTCCTCCGACCGTTTCCCCGTTTCGTTGTGTCTTTTCCTGCTTCGCGCGGACCAACATCTATTTCCTACGTTGCCTCTGTCGACAAAGCTCGAAACTTCGTTCGCTGATCGTCGTTTGCAATAGTTCGCCATTTCCGTCAAACAGACAGCTGAAGAGCCAAGTAGATAAATAAGGCGCGTCGTGAAAAACAAGTTGCTTTTGTATAAATATGTTATTATTCTCCATTAAATTTTTAAAATGTTTTAAACCTGAGTAAAATTGTGATAGAGAAATGAATAGTTTTTATAAAATTAGTTCATGCTGTTATATGTATCTTAAAATTGTTTATTTTAAAATGCTACATGCGTCTCTCTTTCATTAACTTATTATTTTCGTTTGTCTGTTGTTGACTTCTTTTACTATCTTTCTCTATTATCACATAGTTCAGTATTGTCACATAGTTCAGTATAGTAAGACAGCAGCACTCGATAGTACGCACTCGAGATAATGCTCACGATATTCCAAAAAGTGGCGTATTTATCTTCACTGCGTAATCCTTGTTTACGTTGCGGTCGGGCTGTCGTTGACTTAATATTTACGATGATACGCGGGACTTTACATCCGATAAAAAATTTCCACGTTCGATTACGTCGAACGGGAGATATATGGATCTCTGGACCCTAGAATCCACGTATTTGAATAAATCATTGGTGCGCGATCGAAATACATACGGCGAGAACGCGCGCGCGCGCGCACGCGCGCGGATGAGCTACAAAATAACGCGAAGACTAAACACGAATTTATATACGGCGCCGTATATTTATTTAGGATGGAATTTATATTTCTTTCCGGACAGGCGGTAAAACGAGATATATGAAGCCGTCCCTAAAAGCTGGCATGCCAGTTTACAGCGCATATAGCGGCCGGCCGAAGGAGTACGTGCGTACGACGTGCGCAGGACGGACTTGTCCGGCAAATAGTTGGAAGCCCCACCGGGGGCCATATATCATCCCGGCGGGATTTATGCAACTGGCACGCACACATACGCGTGCATACG